CTGAAAGAATCAAGTAGTCAATAGCATTAAGTGCTTCAGTTAAGCCAAGTAGTACACATATTCCCAGCATTGAACATGACAGAGTTTTAATGTGCTGTTTGGATCATACATTTGGATCCCACAATATCTACATATTTTATATATTTTTGCATGGAATATTAGGACCAGCAATCTGTTAAAAATAAATAAATGCAGTGGAATAAAAGTTACAATATTGTCCTCGTAAGTGTACTGGAGTAGGACACAAAGTACCATAAAATGGAAATACCCAAGAACAGTAATTTTTGATTTTAAATTTTTTTCCAGGTTGTACCACTGTAAATAGAGCTATGATTCATCACTGAAGTTAAAAAATAAAAAAAGGAGGCAACATGAAGCTGAATCATTTTCTTGAACCAAGATTAAGTTAATCAAGACAAGTATTTAACGTATCTTATCTTGACATTAATCCACTCTTCGAGGCTTTCACTTGTAGCGCTGCATTCAAGTAAAGGCGGGATTAATATTCAGGCATCCAGGTAGAACAGGAACAATACTGCAGTTCACAAGCAGTTGCTAGTTGCTTTTATCTATACTGAAATCAACAAGATTTTTCTCACTGTTTGACATTAAATCAGACTAAGTTTTCCTGTCAGTCAGGATTACCAGAATGATTTCTATTTGCTCAACAAAGTCAGAAGTTTACATACATTTCCTTAGTATTTGGTAACATTGTCTTTAAACTGTATGACTTGGGTCAAACGTTTTGGGTTTCCATCCACAAGCTTCTCACAATAGTTTGATGAATTCTGGCCCATTCCTCCTGACCGAATTGATGGAACTGAGTCAGGTTTGTTGGCTGCCTTGCTCCATGCGCCTTTTCAGCTCTGCACACTAATGCCTCTTTGGAACTAATTTGGCGGTAAGCTTAGGGTCACTGTCCATTTGAAGACCCATTTGTGCCCAGGTTTTAACTTCCTGGCTGATGTCTTGAAATGTTGCTTTAATATTTCCACATAATGTTCTTTCCTCATGATGCCATCTATTTTGTGAAGTGCACCAGTCCCTCCTGCTGCAAACCACCCCCACAACATGATGCTGCCACCAGGCATGTGCCGTGAGCTCTAGGGTTAGGTATGCAGGCAGTCGCAAATTGCGACGGACACACCAATGACAATTTATATGTGTAGGCTGGTAAGTGCCTGCTGAATCTAACAAAATGAAACACCATTAAAAAACTTAAACAATAATTCAATAGTAGTCCCCAGACTCTCCCAATTAACTTTAGATCTCATGACAACACAGTGCATTCCTTGTTTGTGTTTGAGATGCAAAAAGACTGAGAAAATGACAACTGGATGTGGAGCTGTCTGTGGTGCTGAAACATCTCTCTCTCGCTCTCTCTCTCTAGGGTCCACACCCCAGATACACATTTAATGAAAGAATACCTGAACGCAACAACCGAATACAACAAATAGGCTTATGCGTGCAGGTCCTCTTGCCCTTAATTCATGCCATTCACACAGTTATTTGGTTGATATCAGCTATTAAGAACAAGCATTTCAAATCCATAAAACAACTAGAAAAGCCCTCGGACAGCACAGACCTCCGCCAAGCAGTTCATTTCCACCATATTGTGATTTCCAGCCAATGTTACAGTCCTGCATTCATTTTATCTTCTTTTATCTACTATCAGATTCATGGATAATCAAAACATACCTGAATTAACACTGATGTCATTAATAACAAGCTGAGGGACTCATGAACAGTCGTTCTGTACTCTCAAATGTTTTGTACATTGTTTCTGCAGTTACTTACTGGCTTTTAAGCTGTTAGCTAATGTTATGCTAGGTTGGCATAACTACAGCGATGTTATTACTGATATAAACAGACAGGATGTAGCTTAAGCCAGGTTAGCACAACTTTAGCAATGCAACGTAAATGAAAAGCATGATCAACACATAGAAGCACGCGTCAGTCGTCATGACACATGGCAAAGAGAGTTTAAATGAAACAGGAGACATGTTGAGTCATTGTTAATGTCACAATGTGGTTATGAACTTATCTGTCAGTAGTTCCGCTCAGCCCACTCCCAAAATGTGACTGATTCACTGATTGCCTGGGGCCCCTTAGAACCTTGAACGTCTCTGCCTGTAATGCTGCCTGACTGTAGCTTACTCCTGTAGAAGGAGTAAGCAGTGAGGACTGAAGGACTGAATGGAGTCAGAGAGAGTTTAGACTTACTCTTCTTGCGCCTGTCCTTCTTGACAAAGTTTTTGATCACAGTATTGTAAAACTCCTCTATCTTGGCCTTCAGTTTAATGAGCCTCCCTTTTTCGATGGATATCAGAGCCAGAGATGCAAGATTTTTCATGTTTGGCTATGGCACAGGGCAAATTAGTCCCGACCTTGTCAGTGCCGCCAGCAAACATGGAAAGCAGAAGAGCCGGTTCAGTGTAGCACATCCACAGAGCCAATCCTTCCTTTTGTACCATTCACTTTGAAAAGTACGACCAATTTTCTGAGAGGAGAGGAGAGGAGCTCAGTACATCATTAGAATCCCCCGGCAGTCTAAAGCGTTAGCAGCATAACTAAGGGACAGATCAGGTGATCCTGAGCAGCCCTAACTATCAGCTTTATCAAAGAGAAACGTTTAAGCCTAACCTAAAAAGTAGAGAGGGTGTCTGCCTCCCGAACCCAAACTGGGAGCTGATTCCAAAGGCGAGGAAAACTCCGGAAACTCTGGAACCACAAGTAGACCTGTAGTCTGAGAACGAAGGGCTCTGTTATGATGATACTGCACAATAAGGTTTTTAAGGTAAAATGGAACTTGGTCATTGAGAGTTTTATATGTTAAAAGCAGGATTTTAAATTATATCCTGGATTTTACAGGGAGCCAATAAAGAGAAGCTAATACAGGACAAGTATGATCTCTCTTACTGGTTCCTGTCAGAACCCTGGTTGAAGCATTTTGGATCAGCTGAAGGTTTTTGAGAGAGTTATTAGGACATCCTGATAATAAGGAATTACAATAGTCCAGTCTAGAAGTTATAAATGTATGGACTAGTTTCTCAGCATCACTCTGAGACAGGATGTTCCTGATTTTTGCAATATTAGATGAAAAAAGGCTGTCCTACAAAATTGTTTTACATGGCTATTGAATGACATGTCCTGGTCAAAAATAACTCCAAGGTTCTTTACAGTAAAACTGGAGACCAAGGCAATGCCATCTAGAGTAGCTATCTGGTTTGATAGTAGGTCATTCACATTTTTATTCAACAACTGAAACCTTTTACAGCAAAACTAAACATCTTTCTTTCTTATCAAAAATTATATATATATATATATGTGTGTGTGTGTGTGTGTGTGTGTGTGTGTAGGTGTGTGTGTGTGTGTGTATAAACAAAATAAGAGCTTTTGGAAATTGTCATTTGAAAAATTAGAAAACATAAAAGATTTATTATTATAAATGAAATTGAAAAAAATATATAAAAACTAATTAAAATGGAATGATTTTATTTATTCCTTTCAGCCTTGGGTAGGCAGTGCCTACCGCGTCTACCCTGACTGCACGTCACTGGCTGCCACCCCTGTACTTCACAGTTGGGATGGTGCTCTCAGGCTTGCAAGCTTCCTCTTTTTCCTCCAAATGTAGCGATGGTCATTATGGCCAAACAGTTCAGTTTTAGTTTCATCAGACCACAGGAAATGTCTCCAGAAATGACGGTCTTTATCCTTGTGTGCATTTGCAAACTCTAATCTGGCTTTTTAACGTTGCTTTTGGAGTAATGTCTTCTTCCTCTCTAAGCATCCTTTCATCCCATGCTGGTACAGGACTGGTTTCACTGTGGATAATGACGCTCTCTTACCAGCTTCAGCAGCATCTCACAAGGTCTTCTGCTTTTGTTCTGAGGTTGATATGCACATTTCTCACCAAAACACTTCATCTCTAGGACGCAGAACCCGTCTCCTTCCTGAGCACTATGATGGCTGGACATTCCCATGGTATTTGCGTATAATTGTTTGAACAGATGAACGTGGAACTTTCAGGCATCTGGAAATTGTACCCAAGGATGAACCAGACTTGTGGAGCTCCACAATTCTCTTCCTGATATCTTGACTGATTTCTTTGGATTTCCCATGTTGTCACTAAAGGAAGCAGTGTGTTTGAGGTGTGCATTGGAATACATCCACAGGTGTGCCTCCAATTAACTCAAACGTTGTCAATTAACCTATCAAAAGCTTCCAAAGCCATGACATCATCATCTGGGCTTTACCAAATAGTTTGAAGGCATAGTAATCATAGTGTATGTAAACTTCTGGCTTTGAAGAAAGTAGTAAAAATTCTCTAAAACAATCTCTTTTTATTCTGATATTTAGCAAATAGCAATGACTTTGGTTATCCTAACTGATCTAATGCAGGAAAGTTTAGTCACGTGTAATTAATGTCAGATAGTGAGGGGAAAAGGTTTTTGTGTCTTTTCATACAATGTGTGCAAACTTCTTGTGATGTGTATATATACATATATATCAATGGAAGAAAACGACAAACAAAGAACTAATTCCTATTTCCACTGTCTGCACTCTGATTCGTCCCTGACCTCACGAGAAAGGGACTCCCCTTCCACAAATTTACTTCTGTATGAGACTGTCATCCCGAAAGTTCTGATTTGCTTTTCTTTGTATTCTGTAAAACGTTGATTGTGAAAATGTGTCATGTAAAAGCTGACTGACATCAACAGGCTTAGGAAAACGTAGCAGCCACCTTACTTCACCATACTAATAATGGAATTGTAATATCTGGTAAAATTCAACCGCAACGTTGAGAATCTTGAATTGTCACCTGCTCCCCATTAATTCAGGCTTCCTTTTTCAAAATAGAACCTTCACGGTAATAGAAGTATAGAATTTTTCCCATTCTTCACTCAGCCAATCAGAGAAGAGAGTACTGTAGCGCCGTCCAATTACAACACAGCTCTCCTTCCTCTGAGCAGACGGTTCCCCAACATGGCTGCTGCAGACAAGTGAAGGCACCGAAGTCCGTTTGTATTTGAGAGGAAAATATATTTTACAAAGGATATCAGCAACGACTTGAAGATAACGAAAGGTGAGTTCTTAAAGGCTAATCATCGCCGGGGTGTGTTATAGCGCATGCAGCATCAACGTAAGCGTAGTTAGGTGAGAGCCTCTGCTCTGTTAGCATCTGCCTTTGAAGGAAGCAACCGGGGACGTGTAGCCGTGAAACAGCCTCTGAGCCTCGACAAGGGGACGATCGAAACTTTGACTGAGACTCTGTATCTGTCAGCAGTGGTACCGTCCACTCATGATAAACGTGGTGGACGATGTGCTGTCAATGCATTGATACGTGTTTAAGGAACGTTACACCGGCGTCGTGTGTTTTGACCTTTCATGCTTGCTACTTCCCATATTCTCCAGAAAAAGCCTGTAATTAGTGGGCTGAGCGTTGTGTTCTTCATTGTTTAACGACGTCTTTAGCAGGGCTGTACTTAAAGCTGGCCCATAAACATTAAGAACCCAGTTTACTTGGTAGCTAAGTGCTTCAACGTCCCTTCCAGCATGTTGTCACATCATACATGCATCCGTGTTACCGAGACGTGACATTTCCTACATCTGTCAGCAAGTTGTTTACACCTGACCACGAATATACAGTCTAGGTTTAAGTTAAATCTTGCACTGACAGCTTTATTTCTGTATCCTACAAATAGGGGATAACATCAATAAAATCAAGCCCGGCTGATAAGTATTGGCTCCTGATTAAATTCGTAGCAACGGTGACTTGTTTGAGAGGCTGCAGGTGAGTGTGTACTCTGGGCTAATGGCTAGTGGCTAAAAGCTAATGGCTAGCGGCTAGTGGCTAAAGGCTAGCAGCAGCAGCAGCAGCAGCAGCCAAATGTGATGCCAAGGTCTGTCATCACCTGCTTTGGTATTCCCCAATTACTGGAAATTGAATATTCTGGGTAATGTGAGAGTTAAGCCTTACGTAACAAGCTTCCCAAACAGAAACTTTCGCCCAGAAGTAGATTAAAGAAGATTTACCATGGACAAACACAGTGGGCAGATCAGGACGCTGTTTCCTGGCATACATTGAACACCTGACTGAAGCTGATGTTTTAAAGAACCCACATTTTTCACAGAACTCACTGTCAAGTTACTTTGACATGTAGCAGTAGGAAATGCAGAAGTGTAGGTAATTAAGTGAATGATACCAAAGTTCCATCTAGCTGCTTCACTTTCAGGGTCCTCCTATTGTTTCTGCCCTCTCATTGCCACAACTTTCACTTAAAGAGAAAAAAAACCTGTAATTTGTCTCATTATTATTATCCAGAGAACCTTGCACAATAATTTCAGATTGAGAATAGTTTTTCTTAAATGCACACTGAATTGTGTGCATCAGTGAACAATACATCTGCCTGCATTCTGAAAGATGAACTTTTAATCCGGTTTGACTTCCTCGCGTTGCCTCCACTTTGAGAGGACTTTTGGTTTGATTTTCTGTGTCTCGGATAGTCTTACTTCATAGTCAGTCAACCCTCTCACCCTTCAGTCTGTCTGCCTCTTTTCTCCTCTGTTTGGCTGAGCACTGTCCACTCTTTGTTTGTGGAGACTGCTGACGCTGGAGTTCAGAGGGTTTTTGTGCCAGAGGAAGCTGCTTATGTGGTCAGAGTGAGTGGTGCCAGTGCATCCTGGGCTTCGTTCGGCTTGTCAATAAAGCTATTATGGTAACATTGTGTGCTCACTGGAACACAAAATGACAGAATTGAAGCTAAGTTTAAATGAGATCGATGTAGATGTCATTCCATTTGGACTTGATTGTTAATTGATTTGTGTAATCTGTCATTTATTCACAGACTTCTACATGAATGTTATGAAGAGGATCACTGTGCTACACCTGATCAGCAATTAATCCCTCCCAATAAAACCCCCATATTCCAGAGATCCCTGCCTGTCTCTGCTGGTGCTTCCTGTCACACTGGCAGAAGAGGCAGGGCAGCAGGTGTTGCCGGGGGGAGGACCAAGGCTGCACCCACCTGCCCTCTCCAACTTCCTCCTTCCATATCTGAGCCACTTGACCTGCAGCTTCCACAGGCGGTGGGTTGAGAAGGATCCAGCCAGGACCCTTAAGTGTGACAGGGCTCTGCCAGGTGGCGTTGGCTGGTTGAGGAGCGGAGCATGTTGAGTGGCTGTGGTTGCTATGGAGCTGCAGGATAAGAAGCAGGTGAGTTAGGTTGCTTAGCTCAGCATTTGCCTATGCTACTTAAATGTCCCTGTGGTGGTGGTTGTTTACTGAACGAGAGTACACCTAGGATTTAGACTGAACTAAGGATAGTGCTTAGCTGTGTTGTAATGTCTCCTGGCATAGGTTTCTGATCTTATAAAATCTGTTTGTGATGCTCGACAAGGAACAAATTTAGTTGCGGAAAAGCTTCATTCTGTTTAAATGCTGGTAAAATATTTGGTCGTCAATCACAGAAAGCTTATTTCGAGCATTGGAGACTAGTGACGGCTTGTTTGAAATTTCTAAAACATGCAGATCAGTAAAAGACTGCAACAAGACCAGGCAGATGGGTACTGGTTGTGCTACAAATCTATTACTTTAATAAAACATCATCTTGAATTTCAAAGGTTGAAAGTTTTTGAGGAGAGCATGTGATCCCACCAACTGTGGCGCTGTACTGCTCAGCATCTGAACATTTACTTGATTTTAAATCGTAATCATGTTTTGAAAAAATACAATCAGCAAACTGCAAAGACAGCACTTTAGGATATACCTTAAGCAGTGGTTCTGCCCCAAACTGTTGTCAGTGGTGTTACATTCATGCTGTCCTCTGTATGTGACGGTCACGTTTTTGATGGTATCACCTTTACTTCTTTATATTAATAAATTATATTGCAAATCAAATTCCAACAGTAAAATTGCAGTTATATATTTTGTGTTCAGCAATAATGGAGATAATGGAGACAGTAGAAGATGCCCTCATAAAAACCTCAGAAAGTCCACCACAATTGTTTTAATCTACAGAATGCAGTTAAAATGTTTCATATAAATCTAAACAGATGATTCTGTTGTGGATGGTAGATTGTTCTGAGCTGGTGTATGAAAATTAAAGTTTAATAATTGTTTGACATAAAGGATGTCTGAGTTCAGTAGAATGGTTGTGATTTTGATAATTAAAGACAACAGTTCACAAAAAAATAGGGGAAGAGCTCTGTTTAGTGACTCGTATACAAACAAGATGAACTGTAACTGGTTGATTTCATGAACTCCAAAGGCCATTCATTGTTTCTCTACTTCCATATAGTTCCTTATTTACAATTTTTGCCATTACATAAGGATCTGTCTGCAGGAGATTTTGTATATTGAAAGTTGCAAACGCAAGTAATTGTCAGAAAGGAAGAAGTAATTGCCTACCATCATGAGAAAAACACTGTTTGTTGTCCAGGTAGCTAATGAACAAGCTCAATGCAGTTATTTTGATTTGTATGTGAGAATCTTTTTTGAAAAAGAATTGGGTGTTTTCACTCTTGATAATGCCTTCAGTATGCTTGAATGTCCCTACTGTCTGTGATATGCCGGCCAGAGTTAACGGATTGCTAACTGCTGCTAGCACTAGAACTCTTGAGTATTCGATTGCATGTCACTATAAGAAGACATATCAGAGATGGATTCTATCTTAAAATTCTGTGGTGCTGAAAATATATTTGCATCCCCTGGAGGAGAGGACAGAGTAAAGCTGTTACGTAGGGAAAGTCACTGGATTTTGCAAACTGAACACTGTAATTATTACCAATGATGCATACAGTAAATGATGAGAATCAGGAGTATGTATATGTATACAAGCACTATGAATATTTTTGTTGTTCTCTCGTATAAACTTTGTCTTATGAACTCCGCATTATTGTTAAAAAAACAACAAAACAAACCCCCCGCCGCTCATTTCAGTTGCCCCCATGAAGGGTGAAAAGATCAAACCTCTCCAGTTAAACATAGATGAGTAGGAGGGGCATTTCACAACCAGGCACCTATGGGTCAACATAACGTGCGTAGGAGCGGAAACGTGGCTGATACCGACCTGTTGCTCAACCGGCTTAAACCTGAACTTTCTACATCATCTATCTCACCTATGTGCTGTGTTCTGTTATGTAATCATTAACTTATTGCAATACAGTCAGAAGCATGGAGCTGTCTTCCTCAAGGAGACATGTATGCGCTACAGGAGGAGGTAGAGTAGACCTTTCATTTAATACATTTCAATTGATAATGTGGCGATGTTTGTTGTCATGCTTTAGCGGTTGTTTCATACGCTGTAAACACATTAGTAAGAGAAGCGTGGAGAATACCTGTTGTTATGAAGTCACTAGCACAGGACGTGTCAGCCTTCAAATGGTTCCTGCTTACTGGGTTGGAGATAAAACTGGATTTGAACGACCCACTGTATGCTTTATTTTCTTGTCTTACATTATGGATGCCACAGTGCCAAATTTTCCAGTCAGTACCAATGCTATTGAATTTCCATGATTCTCAATGCCAGAGTTAAAAAACAAATCAATTAATCTATCAAATCAATTGAATCTGTTTCTCAAAAACTACTGCAAACACTCGGTGCTGTTACATATTGAATCATCCATTCAACATCTATACACCGCTGAATCCTCACTAGGGTCTCAGGGGGCTGGAGCCTATCCTATCATGCTAAAATGTTTAATCTGTTTTACCAAATAGTTTAACTCATTGATTGAGGACAAAGCAGCCTGAGTCCTTCTTTACTGAGAAAGATTTGAAAATCACATAAAGGTGTTTGTTAACTCATGTTTGCAATAAGATAAATAAGAGGCAAGTTGCTACTTGTGATTAAAACTGTGCTTTGGTTTATTTACATTTTGAGAGAAAACACCAACTGAGTCTAACAATGAACTAAATGCAGAGTTGAGGCTGTCGTTCTCATCATCTACGTGGATATTAAAGTCACCCACTATAATGACTTTATCTGTACTGAGCACCAGTAGTAGGGGGCCGGTGGCCAATGTATAACAACAGAACTGGTTTTTATGCTTTCCAATTCAAGTGTGCGAGACTAAGACTAAGGCTTTGTTTTGGTGTTATCACTATGTTAGCTGTGTACATTTTTGTGACACATTGCTACAACAAATGCAGCTCACAAGCAATAACAACAGTAACATTTCAGGACTTAAGTAATTTGATGATGTGTTCATGTAAAATTAACAGCTGAAGTCAATTCAGTGTGCTCATCCAGATGTCTTAAAAGTGCTTTGATAAGCTTTTAGTTGTCCCTGATTATTCCAATGCCACATACACAAAAATGTGTTATTTTTTTTCTTTCTCTCAAGTCTCAGCAGACCTGAGGGGTATACTACGAAGCAAGTTTGACATAGCCAGGCTTTCTTTGTGTAAGCCGAATCAAAAAACCAAAAGCCCCAGCCAGAGATAACGGGCATCACGAAGGTGGTTATCAGCTTTCTTTATCAACTCAGGCTTTCTGTTTCAGACTCTGTGCGTGTTCACATAAAAAGGGGCGTTTAACACATCACGTGACTCTTCTTCTGCACAAAATGAACCGATCGTGTGCAGCGGCTTCAGTCAACACGTTGTTTTAACGGAGAACAATGAGGAATATATATATTTTTAAAAATATGACGGTAAAAAGTGCTGCTACTGTAAATGGTGCAAGACAGGAATACTGGTAGAAAACTGTCAAACGTGTTAATATATAATATTTTACCGATACAGCCGCTTATTTCCAACTGACAGCTGCACGTTAAAGTTAAACTTTAAACTTCATACATTTAAACATCATCATCTATTGAAGTGCATTTAAGTCTGACACTGTCCCATAGTGCAGGATAACACTTTAATTTTTGGCCCAATCAGAGTGAAATTAATGTTATTGATTGAATATTCTCTGTAATTAATACCAGGAGAATAATCCATTTTTTTCATCTGTGTTCTATCAGCTACAGTACCAGCAGTGTAAACAGACTTGACAACAAATCAGAGCCAAACATAAAAACATATTTATGTAATTTCTGCATCGCCAACTTAAGATGTCGGGTTCCCATGGCAACGTTATATTTACAGTAGGGCTGGACCCGAACATCCAAATATCCAACTATCCGGTCGTTTTGATGGTATATGATATATATTTGCCCGCAACCTGCCACCAGCCTGCACACCCCCCGCCGTCGCCGCCGATGGTGACAGAACTGTGACCGCCAACCTTAACTGGCATCGGCAGCCAAGTACTGCCTGTGCGGAGCGCCCCGTCTCCACCAACTGTGCGATATTGTAACTACATGGCTTCATTCAGTGATAGTAGTGACGCACAACTCAGCATGTTTACAGATAAAACACATTCCCTAAGCTGAGAATCTGTATCGCTCATAAATAATGGTCAGGAAACGATCTAGTTAAAGGGAGAAGCTCTTTCCAGCCGATTTAAATCTGAAACTCTGAACATAACCTGCTCCCAACCAGGGAAGCTCCACAGCATAAGTTACCATGGAGATCTAGTCAGGTAAAAAGAGAACCACCTTCGTGATACTGAAAACTCTGGCTTTAAGCTCAACATACCCTGCTAACCCACTAATCTCACTTTGCTGCACCTGCCCATGTTGTTATCATTCAGTATCTGCAGTGCTGACTGCATGGGAGGACCCTACCACAGAAAAGCAGTTTTCACATTGACTTGTTATCTTTTCTCATAGCGTAAACTGATCAGCATTTAGTTTGGTTTGAATAAAAACATATTTTAAAGAGTTCTTCGGAAAAAAAAAATCTAATTTTATTTGAATTTCAATCAAGACAGGTGATAATTCAGTGTTGTTGTTTTGATGGCTGCATACATGAGGAGCTAAAAGTACTGACTGCTGTTTGGTAACATAATGCATAACAGTGGAACACAGATCATTGCACGAGATATCAAGTTGAAAATATTTATTGTCTTTTACAGACATTTGATATGCCAGACTAACACTGACAGGCTCATCACAAGCTCCACTCAGTAGCTGTTCAGGAGTTTTCTTTTGTATTACACACTTCAGGACTCGTCTATGAAGGTCTCCTGTTTATCTCAATTCTTATCAATGGACCTATGATGTGGTTGTGATTAAGTTTCCATCCATATCATTTGGCCCTATTATTTTTTTGTTTCTACCTTTTTCTCTTTGTGGCTACTCTGTGGATCCCTCCATTCCAAAAATATGCAAAGCTGGCAAGAGAGGGAGAAAAAGCCCAACCAGGTTGGCATTGTTTGTCACATCAACAGAGCCCCTTTTCTCTCCCCACTATGTCTGGCCTCTTTTAACCCAGACAACCCATGCCAACCCCCACCTCCCGCCTCTGAAGTGGTGGTTTTGTTGCTCAGCGTCCCAGCCAGCTGCTGAACTGAGTTGAAATGAGTGAGGCACAGACCATGCCAGAGAGACAGCCAGACTCTGTGTATTTGAATTAAAGTCCAGCTGGCAGCGTGCACTGAAGCTGAGCTCTGTTGTCTGCAGCTCGGTGACGAGGGAAATTTGGGTGAGGTTTTGCAGCATCACCAGCTCTCTTCTGACTGTAGACATAAGCAGGCAGTCTCTTCAGTCAGTGTTTTATTTTCATCCTGACTCTGAAATATTATCATTGTCGTCGTTAGACATTGCCCTTGCAGCACAACAACAGTGTTACAGATTTTAGAGGAGCAGAGCAGAGCGTGGCCATCATGGTGTTGAAGATGAGAGAAGGTCTCTTTCTCAGGAAGAGGGGTGGTGTAAGTTGTCTCATGCTTCTTTCTGTCAGTTTATAGCAGACTGTTATCTGTTGTTAGTCCAGTATTCCGTAGTTAGACCAAATCTTTTGGTATCAATAGGAGTGTTTGCACATTGACGTAATGATCTTAATTTGTTGGGAGGCATCCAAGGTTAAGCCTGATCCCTCCTAGTTTATGGGCATGCTGTGCTTTACTAAGGCTGTTCAGCTCCTTGTATGTCTGCTTGTTTACGTTTGTCTGAAGGATTTTTGTTGAGGCTTTGTTACTCTGGGAAATGGGAAGATATTTATAGCTCGGCTGCGTGGGATGTAGAGCCTGAAAGCTGAACCCAGTGTGTACACGTGTATGCGTGAGTTTTCCTATTTGTGTATGTGCAGACCTTCGAGACACACACATCCTGACAATGACAGGGAGTATGGGAAAAGGTTGTGTTCCTTCATGGCTCATTTTCCCTTCTCTCTCTATGAAAACCGCATTTATTTTTGTTCATGGGTGGACTAAGCCTGTG